TACGGCATGTCGTCGACAAGTCTAAATCCAGCTCATACCCTCCCTCCCTGGCCTCATCGCTGCCCGGGACGATCTCACGCCCGCCCGCCACCATCTAGTCGTGGGGCCGGGGGGTGTTCAAAAAGGGGAGACAGAGAGAGGCAAATTGAACAGGTCCAGCCGGGCGCATCACGGCCGGGGCACAATGAGGCAACACATAGGCCAGAATCCGCTGATCCCAGCCCAGAAGCCCCAAATACCCCGGCTCCAAGATACCTACTTAGCTAGTATAACACAGCGCATACCCCCCTCCCCCACCACCCCCCTCTCTCTCCACTCCAGGCGCCGGCGTTGTCAACCCCGTGTGCCGCGCTGTCGCTGGGGTACCTCTGACCCCCTAGGGTTCTCATCCTCTCGCTATCGACGCGTTCCATCTCCGTGATTGCGCCGGTCAAACAACGCCGCGGTCTCCTTGTTCCCTATTGCCTTGCCCATCTCGTTGCTTGCCGTTCACGTGAGCGCAGCGAGACCGACGCTGAGGTTCGTGTCTTGGGGGCACCCCTGTCTGTGCTGGCTCAGACCTGTCGGAAAGACAGGATCCTGGCAGTCACGCAAAGGACAGCCTGCCGCCTGCCGCCTGCCGCCTCCACCCACGCACACTATTTGGTGCATGGGGTCGTAGTATCCATGGCACGACAGGTCGGGAACCCGTGCGGGCAGGCCCATTGTGACGTTGCCGAATAGCCCAAGGCACACGAACCGCGGACAATTTGCAATCAGCGCTCGCCTGCGAGGTGCCAGGCACCCTTGGTTGCCTTGATCACGCGACGAGAAATGTGACGAGCTGTCAGCGTCGTCGCTTAAGGTCAGACATGCGCAAATCTGGAAAGTCTGGCTGGCCCCTCAGATTGCCAGGCTGTTCTCGCCATTGCGTGATCAGAACCGACTTGTTCTCTAGGTCGAGAGTTGTGCCAATTCCTCCGGACAAGGAGGTCCCACATGGGAGTGCTGGACTACCCAGGCTCGGGCGAACCAGCCGATTTACTCCAGGGGCAGGTGTGCTTTTTTTCTGGGGAAAAAAAGTTGACATTTTGACAAATTTTCTCCGCAATGGCCTCCCGGGCTCCTTTCAGCTCCTTGATTGATAGGCA